CGGCGTCTTGCGTTATTTTCCCGTGTGTACTCAAGCGAAAACATTTGGTGCTATTCCCGAGGCTGAATATTCCTAAGGCGAAAAGGTTCAATGTGTGTTTATCCAAAATTGTCACCAAAATGAGGAACTATTCCACTTATACCTAGGGTGCATTTGATCACTTAACTTATATCTACATAGACTAAATGATTACCTACGTCATTCCATTCACATTCCCGTTATGCCGAATATAGGAACTCAACACCTTTTCATATTGCCTGCCCAAGATGCAATATCCCTGAATTTATCATAGCATACTTTGTGAAACATTCCAGTGCCTACATATTCGTTCGCTTCAAATGTAAAATTAGCTGAGTCAAGACAGATAATCCAGATATAATCAGCTGACTCAAGCATGCATTTGTGACGCTAGTCTGACCAATTCTCACAGGCGCCGGTACATTGCTCATTGCTCAATGTACGAGTCTGTCCACCGCAATGACGTGCTAACACCCAAAGGAAGCCTACAATGACACCTATACACCCGTTCGTGTGAACTGCAACACTCAGCACACGATTTCTGCGACACATGAGCCGGCACCCTGCCATGATCGAAAACCAGTCGCCAGACATGACAGCGACCGCAGTACAACAGCGATTGAGACACGATTCTGCTACCGAATCCTGAGACAAACAGACTAACGTGACGAAAATCGCCACGGCAGAGCCCGCGGCGGTGACAGTGTCCCATAGGGACGTGACCCAGGTCATGACCCCGTGCACACGGTTCGTCGGAAGGTCATCTCAGGCTCAAAAGAAACGGTATATACCATTCGAAAGCCGACGGTGAGCTGAATTCAAAAATGTAATTTTTATCAAAATCGATCGATGGCCTTTTTTGAAAATTGCGTTTTTGTAAAAAACTTAATAATCTTTTATTTAACGGGCTGTCCCGGACATTCTTGAAAACATGAACATGTATTTTTGAGTTCCAGTGAAAGCTAAACGCCAAAAGAACAATATTTAGCGAAGCAATATTTCCAAACATTAATATGCGTCTCCCACAGCCGACAATAAGGCGCAATCACACAGCTCAGTGTCACGATGGACCAAAGTCAGCCACACAGAATCGTGAATTGACCCTTATCGACTCGCAGACCCGGCGCTCTCGGCCCGCCTGACCGGCCACGGAAAGAACGTTCGGCTCTCGTTCTACTAAACAAATGTCATATTTGTCACTTAAACTGTCCCGATCGCTATTAAAGTTATTCAGGATACCTGTGAAGAAAATTTATTGTTCTGCTTGATTTACAACATGCTTTAATTTACATTTTTCTTATACATGTTTTGTTCCATCCAGCTGCGATCAGTGCCCGCGCAGGGGAAGTGAGCGGGGTTTCACTGTCAGAGGCTGTACTGGTGAGTGGTGACAGCTGCTCGGCCGTGCGACCGGTCAAAGGCTACCCTGCCCCGCCGGGCGCCACCCCCACTCCACCCGAGCTGAGGCCGGTGCAACCTCTGACATTTCAGCGCGGCCAATTTTCCTTATATGGGCATGATACCAAGCTCAGTTGAGCAAAGTAGACATGAACAAATGCAAATTAATGCATGATGTGAAGATGACAGAACAATGAAATTTCTTCACAGGTATCCTGAATAACTTTAATAGCGATGTGGACTATTAAACTGACAAATATGACATTTGTTTAGTAGAACGAGCGCCGAACGTTCTTTCCGTGGCCGGTCAGGCGGGCCGAGAGCGCCCGGTCTGCGAGTCGATAAGGGTCATTTCACGCTTCTGTGTGGCTGACTTTGGTTCATCGTGACACTGAGCTGTGTGATTGCGCCTTATTGTCGGCTGTGGGAGACGCATATTAATTATTGGAAATATTGCTTCGCTAAATATTGTTCTTTTGGCGTTCAGCTTTCACTGGAACTCAAAAATACATGCTTATGTTTTCAAGAATGTCCGGGACAGCCCGTTGAATAAAAAGTTATTAAGTTTTTACAAAAACGCAATTTTCAAAAAAGGCCATCGATCGATTTTGATAAAAATTACATTTTTGGATTCAGCTCACCGTCAGCTTTCGAATGGTATATATCGTTTCTTTTGAGCCTGAGATGACCTTCCGACGAACCGTGCGTGACCTCTGACCTTTGAGCAGGGCGCGGTGGGGACAGGTTTTCAGCCCGGTGCTCGGGAGGGTCCCGTTAGTACGGGGCCTGTCTGCTCAGAGGGGAAACCCAGACCAGCCTTTCACCCAGCGACTCCGGTCAGCAAGTGACGTCATTGATGACGTCAAATGGAATCTCCGGTTTGGTGGGACCTGGATGACAGGGGAGAGCCGCGGCGGGTGTTGTGACTCATTGTGATGCCACATTTCCTCAAATTATATTGGCGTGAGAAGCCATGCTATTTATAGTTGCCATTGGAGGTAGGCACAGATCATCGCAAAGTTCGTAGCGTTTGTCCGTAATTGATCACTCTTACTATCCACGAATCAAAAATGCTGTGGTGATGCTGTTCATGGATAACAATAACTACCTGCAACTATTATGAACTTAGTGACTGAGGTTACGAAATAACTAGCTATAGTTAACTGAAAATAAAATAAAAAATAAAGTATTTTCACTTAAACCGTCGATTACAGATGAACAGGGATATTCCAATGCATATTCATATCCTCTTTTACTTTGATTTTAAATGCAATTGATATTCGATTCTCTTTAAACATTGGGTTTTCCACAAAAAAGTTGTGGGATCTGGCTTAATTTTCATGCTCGTCTTACTTTCAGCACAATTGTCTATAACACAAAACAAATTATTGTGTTATATGCATTATGAACGGCGATATTAAATGTGTATTATTCAAAAGCCTGAACTTATTGCTAAAGTTATTATAAGCAGTGCTCTACAGCTTCTTGTAATTGAAATATGAGGGACTTTTTTGTAACCCGCGCCCGTTAATATTGCATTAGGAGTTTGTGACCATCCCGGATAGGGTCGATCAGATAACGCACCGACGAACGGTAATGTTGCTAACAGGCGTGTGGGCACGGCACGTTTTACCCTTTATCACACAGAGAATGTGAGAAAAGAACACTTATCGGGTGTGTCGATCAGATCCTCATAAGACTGTTGCAAAATAATGCACCGTATGAATGACAGTGCAAAATCGTTGGACAGCCAAACTTGGGCATCTATTTCCTTCCCACCAGAATAAGATAACATACTTTGTTGCGGATCATCATTTATTCCTGTGATGTAGCCTATTACCGCATTATTTACCGTTGCAAATGTCAGCGGCAAGTTCTGAATAATCTTATGTGACTTCGCCCCTGAGATGCAGCGACTGGATGTGTTCCAAAAAATTGCAGTCTGACTCTGATCAAACCTGTTTGATACTTCTGTTGCAAAACTGCTGAGGCGTCGTAAGCATGACAAACGCCCGCCAGATTATTGCACAAGGCAAGCGGTCAGGGCATGGCAGAAGATGAACGGACCCATAGTGCACCCGGTCAGAGCTCAAACTCGTTTAATTCTCATGATCTGGGCGGAGTCTGTCCGACTAGCAGGACCCCGACTAGGCTTGGGAGACCTAAACGACCTATGTTTGTGACCCAGTTGACCTGAGGGGCTCGCGAGATCTGGGAACCCTTAGGAAGTTGGCTTATTTAGGTGGATCTGCTGCACTCTGCAGGACTTGCCTTCCATTGACCTTCTTTTTATAGCACGGCAAGACTTGCGATTCTGATCAAAATAGTGGCATGTAACACAACGAACTGAAGGAGATAGGTACTCGATACAGGACCCCAGTGCACTTAAGCACGGAATACGATATCAACTGAACTTAGGCTTCTGCTGTAGCTATGCATTTGCATATGCAGGCTTAGCTCTTTCAAATGAACAGATTATGGCGAGAGCAGAATTCACGCTAAGCAGAGATGGCTGCTCAGGCTCTGAGATTACAGGTCAATGAGGAAATCTGCGGAAGACGTCAGGACTCAGAGGCGAAAGTTGAACTTGTTCACAGCTTGTACCGGCACCGCCTGATCCGCCCACGGATTTCAGCATTATGGAACGCAATCGCTGCCACATTAGCCTAGAGTGATCATCAGAATCTGGAGTTGGCGAGCGTAGAGCCGACTTTACCAGATCGGCCGCTCTTCGCACCATTTGGTTAGTGTAGGATTCCAACTCAAACCTGTTCAACAAACTGAGACTAGAGCCTAAGTCATTTGAATTGAACATCTCATCTCCGAGTGAAGTGTAAAATATTTTAATGTCTTGTTAGATTAACCCGCGCCCGGCTGGGGGTCCTGGATTTCCACGCCCTGCTAGGGGGGGGGGGGGTGTTTGAACACCCCCCCCCTTCTAACTCGGCTCCTGGGCCACGTAGCGATACGCAGAAGGCGGCGTTCGAAAGAGCGTCAAAAATAATGACGAAATCACTTCAGTCAATTTTTTGGTCAGGTCAAAGGTCAGGTCACCAGAGGTCATTGAAGGCAAAATTTCGCCGATTTCCAGGTCGAATGTCAACAATTTCCAAGAAGCCAACCCATAACTCGGGAACCAATAGAGCTACAGCGCCGCGGAAAAGCGCATTCGATAGCCCTATTAACGCCCTTTCTGAGTAATTTTCTCAGATTTGACCTAACGTCAACGGTTTTGTCTGCAGGGGGCAAAAACTGCAAAAATAGCCGATTTTTTCGGAAACAGTTTTTCTGCAATAACTTTTGACCCAAGCCTTGTACGAGCTTACTTTTACCGGCATCGTGTTCCTCTCGTCAAGACGCATCGAATGAACTATAACTTGACCTTGAAAGGTCAACTTCAAAATTTGACCTCAGGTCAAGGTCATGACCTGACCGGAAAGGGTCATGTTGCATATCAGTCGATCCGAATCGTCGAGCTGAACACATCTAAGGCGTTTTCATCGCTCTAGCATGCCTCTATCAAAAGTTATATGCGAAAAACTGTTAGATACCATACGTGACCTAAGATGACCTCAGGGCATAAACAGGGGTCACGGACACCATTTTCATGTTCAGTGTGTCTTAACCACTTGTAATTCAATGTTTGGGAGTGTTTATAATGTCTTTCGTCCAAAAGAGGCGCATTTCAATTTTCTCCCATTGACTTATAATGGGGAGGTCGCAAAATTGACCTGACCTTAGGTCATCGATATCAAAATTCTGAGATAAACATTTTGTACATGCTATTGCTCTTAGCAATCGCTGAAGGTTTCAAAGCGATCGGTAACTCGGTGTAGCTATGACAGACATTGAAACTTTTTTATGAGGTGAGGTCACTTCAAGTGACCTGGTGACCTGACCTTAAATGACCTTGGTCTGAAATTTTCACAACATGTGTAGAATTGATGTATGATAAGGTGTACCAAAAACGGCGGCGCTCCGCGTCGTCGTTTTTGAGATATTCGCGAAAAACCACAAGGGGGTGTTCGAACACCCCCCAGCAGGGCGCGGGTTAACGTTAAACTATTACCTTAAGTTTGGCAAATATGGTAGCTGTGTTCAGTACAGTGACCGCGGCACGGGGAGAGGGCTGAGGTAACGGGGGTGTCTTGCAGAGTGGAGGAGTTGAGGTGTAGACCGGCCAACTGGGATCGGCAGGGTGTGACTGACGGCGAGCCACCCGACTCCTGAGAAACTTGGTCAGCTCAACCCACCAACACCCATTCGTAGTGCAATGACGACATTGCACGTGGAGACGTGCTAGTCGCAAGAGCTCAACCCACCAACGCCTTAAATGTAACTGTTTTAATAGTTTGATTCGTGGAGCCTGGAGGTTCATGTACTCTCGATACAATACCGGTACTCTAAATATAATACGATACAATACTTGTCCATTTATAACTACAATAGTCGCAAGAGACTTGCACAACATGCGTTCTTATTTCTTGGGATGGTTTTAATGTCATCCCATTGTTTTATTTATTGTTGTTTAGTTTTAGCGCATGATTTTGAAAAATGACTGTCTTGAAACTCAGTGACAGAAAAACCACAATGATTTCAATGTTAATGAGGAACTAGGTCTGCACATATAACTATAAGCCAGCATGAATTTGTTGGTCAATCAATACAGTTACGGTCGTCACTATAACCTATACCTATAACTCAATCGAAGTATTTACTGATGTAGTGAGAAAGTACAACAAGTCACTTTGTTTATACATGATGATAAGTACCAAATATCCTCACACAGCGTTAGCTGAGCAACGCTGACTCAGCAAAAGTGCAACAAGGATTTTTAGGTCTGTTGCAGAAGGCGAGACACAAACGACAGAAAAATGCGCAGCATTTCCGACAATACTCAACGGAACGTGAAACGGAAAAGGGCGTCCAAGGGTGCGAACTGGCAGTGTATAAAGACCATGCTACCCAATCATTCTTATTATCAATTGACATATTGAACCGTATATGTGTGCTGCATTGGTCACTACATGCACTGCACAATGCACGCGTATTTGAATACAGTAGGCAGCCGTTCATTTTATACAGTGGTTGTTGCTTGCAACTTATGTTCATACAACATTATATGCATGTTTAGAAAAAGTTAACCTACTTTACGAGCAAGCGGAGCAGCGCTTATGTGTTATTACCAGCGCTATTTCACATTTTATCTGGCTTGTGGGCATTACACAAAATAGAAGCAGGAGGACTCGCGAAATTCGATATCAAATTAACTGCGAGTGAACTGACAGCCACCCCTGCCACTCGAGTTCAGATGAGTTCATCGGATGGGTAAGCTGATTCATGCCGCTCGCGATTGGTATGTATGGCATGGAATGACGTACTCGCCATCACCGCGAACTTTTGCCGGGTTCCGATCGAATGCTCTATGATAAGAACAACGAGTGATGGAACCGGTCTCTCGTCATTAGCTCATCCGAGGAATTTTGTGGCCAAATTAAGCAATAGAAACATGTAATTTGCAATGAATGTTGACGGCCATAAAGCCTCTCTATGAGTATGCTTGTCTAAGTGCCTGCTACATCGTGTGCAAACAGGATAAAATCGCTTTGTTGCCTACCATTACAACAAACCACTTCCACAACTATACAGTATGCAGTGATTTGTTCAGTGATTTTTATATTGCATGTATATAGTCATCATGTCCTTAGATAGGGCAACATGCAAATGTCTCTTTCACGGGCCAACCAGACCGGCCCTATCGAATAAGTAAATTGTCTAATCCCTACATATTTTTTAGTTATAGGCATGGCCAATAGATGGCACTTGAAACCAGCGCCTGAATGTATACTGTTCCGCATGACTTGCTGCGAAGGACTGTCTCTCCAAACACGGGAAACAAACGGTTAGCGACGCCAATTCGCTATTTTTTTAAATGGAAAGGTGTTACTCAAGCTGTGAAATTCGGTGACTGTAAATCAGCGCCGGAACTGGAGTTACGTGCTTTTGCGCGTTTTTCTTTTCTAGGTAGGCATCGATGCAATATGACAATGCAGTCCGCTGCACTTGTTTTCCCGTACTCTTATATTGCGTGGAACTGGGAAAAAGCAATAGGAAAGTCATTGATGTTCATATACATGATAGGGAAAGGTGACAAAAGGCATGGGAAACGCGGGAGTGAACGATTAAGCGGATTATATTTGAACTGATCATCTATGTTTAGTTAAATATGTAATGTGCTTTTTCAGCTCACATTAGTTAAGAGCTCAAACGGTTGAGCTTTAGGAGACTTGTGGTACAGGACAATTTGCATATCATGATAATTACCTCAGCTGCAAATGGCGACAGTGCCGTCCGGCTAGCTTCATAGTAGCGTAGTAGAGAACAGAGCGTGATTTTAGGCGGTAGAAAACCATCTATGCACTAGCATAGAGCACAAATCATGTTCCCGGGTGATACACTAATTGCTGTGACTATACCACACTATCATAGCATGTATGTAATCGTCTTCTGACTCTATCACTAAACTTCGTGCTAATCATCTCCGGGGCCCAGTATGTCCCATGTGTGTGATGGCAGTGTTATTGCCCATGATGAGTTAAAGTCTCCTTAGTCTTGCTGGGTGCCTGCTCTCTGCCGTCCGCTCGATCTCCGCTGCTGTTCCTTCCGTACGTTGGCGCGCCGAAGTTACCAGCCGCCGGTAATTACCAGCGGTGACAGCTCGGCTCGGAGCCGTACCCCTGATGACGTCACGGTCACGGTCGGGGGGCCCGCCCAGCCCGCCTGGCCGTCCGGACGGGAGCGCTGCTGGCGGGCCGGTCTCCCCCGGCGGTCAGTCGAGCCCCAGCGTCTGCCTCGAACGGGTGGAATCGGAGAGAGCTCTGCGCAGTCAGTCGGAGCCGGACCGCAGCAGGAGCGACCTCGGAGCATCCCGATAGGTGAACGGACGGAACGACCCGAGCGCAGGATCCGACAGAATGATCAAGGTGGGTGCCAGTCTGCCAATTTAGCCACCAAGTCATCGGAGTGGAATGTTCGCTCATGCATTATGTGATATTTAAAAATGGATGGGGATATATTTCAGTTTGAACGAAATTACTTACGACGAATCCGCATTCTACAGTCTCCCACATTTAACCTCTTGCAAAACATCTTGCTTGACATCAGCTCTAAGCCTGTAACCGACTATCTATTCATCATATCAGATTAAGACGTCGAGCAATTAGAGACGCTCGTGCTCCACCTCCTTTAACATAGTTTCACATTCGTCCGACGCAATTAAACACGACTAAGCTGTTCGATCCCTGCTACCGGCGTGGTGTAATCTGCTTACCTGTTGAATGCGAGACCATCCGATCGATCTAGCGCAGTTACGCGAAAAAGGAACTGTGACACGTGTTTTGGGCTCTTGGCTCCACGGCACTTAGATCTATTGTGGTCACGGCGGTAGGATTATATCGTGGTATATTAGTGTAGGTACTGAGCGGGGCGCGTCGCTGATTGCGTCTTCTGAGTTCTGAGGGGTTAGAAATTAGAAGGACAATTCTTACGCAGAGATTTCTGACATTTCGAAAGACACTGGCTGGGATTTCAATGACTGTGTGATCCATTTCATGGTTCAATGATAACAGATGAAAAAATCACCTTAGTTGTTCTCTCCTCACAGCGTGGGTATAGGGAGGAGACTTATCCACTTCTTGCTCCGTTCATTTTCCACCCAAATATTACCCGGCATCACTGCTGCTCCCCTGTCCTTCGAAAGGGCTGCCCTCAGTCCTGCTTGAGTCACGTCACTGACTCGTGATGTCACGACTACCTGTGGCCGTGTCACGTGACGGTCACCCCTGTGCACGCGCGTAACGTGGCCCCGTCCGTAAAATAAGACGCTAACCTTGCAGGTGTCAGATATACAGACAAATCGTCCCACATGCATTAGCATTTATATCGGTGCGTCAAATGAAGAAATGCGTGACATTAAATAAATCATTCAGGGGAAATGTAATGCCCCCTTGGAATTAAATTTCAAAGGTGAGGATCAAGCCCAAGCGGGCCAGGCCATTGCAGGAAAAAGAAAAGAAACAGAAAAAAATGTTTGAATGCCAGTCTTGCCTTGGAGTTTTGTCTACCGTGCGGATGTTACTTGAGGCGCTAAAAGTAAAATAAATATAAATGCACGAGTACTTACTCACTACTCAGCGCTCAATCAAACTAATAAGTTAGACACACCCTAAACCTCAAGTAACTGGAGCATAACTCTGTAGATTCGCTCATAAGCTTGCAAAAGGCAAAAGTGGAAAATGGTTCGGCGTAAATGAGCGCTTTGCAAATGACATAACGCATACACGCAATAAGTGCTACCCTGTCAATTAACTACACGGTGGTTTCAAAGTGATCACTTCTGATTGCCCGTCATACAAAGTATAGGAACTATGCAGTCGCCGAGAGTAATACAGCATGTGCTGTAATGTGCCGATCAAATGCCTACATTCCGAACAAGAAACGTGCTTACTGCCGTTACTGCTTAACCTTGGCCTCGCACGAGAGCCCATGCAAGTGGCATGTTGTCAATCAGCATCAGATACCAATAATTCCTTTCCATTTTTAGGATTGAAATGGCATGGGTGCAAAATGACCTGTCAATTGGCGCGGCTAAGGCCCAACTTACTTAATCAAAGCTGTTAAAGGTGGTGCTGCAGAGGCACGACTCGAGCTGAATTACTACAGCGTAACAATTTGTATATCACCATTTTTCAAGCCAAAGTTAGTTTCTTTTCAAATGCTTTCCCCGTCATTAAAAGGTAAATGGTGGTGTGCTTTCGCTAAATAATTATGATATATGTAAAGCGCCGTATTATATCGTTTAGTTGAAATCATTGTTTTGTGCCGGTGCATCTGTCCTCAGCGGAGCATCTGGCATTATCCACCATCCTCTGTATCCACTCCACCTGTCATCCCGCTACCATTCCATCCTCATTTCCCTGTTCCGGCTTCACGTCTTGCGTTCCTTGTTTGCGTTCATCTGATTCACTGAGCTCCGGTTCACCGAAAGCACGTGACGCAGATGACGTCAGACTCGCTAATTGTGTGATGCATATGACGCCACGCTCGTTAATCACGTGATGTATAGTCCGTAGTCGTATAGTGTCCGGCGTAAATACACGATCGGCAGATCACGGCGTGCAGTCACGGTGCATATCTGGTGAACCGGAAATGAGATCTGGCTCTCCTCTGGGATTAATTATGGTTCGTGAGTGGTGAGTAGTGAGCTCCTCCGCCGCCCACGGCCCACCAATCAAGATTGAGAGGAAAACTGAGAATAATAGTTACTACAGTTGATTATAGCTGCAAACGTATGTACCTATGTGGAGCAGCATTGCTTGAAGGTCAATACATCTGGAGTAAGTCACATGCAATGCGGTAAAGTAATGCTGCTTACAAGATATTCCTTCCTGACGTATTTTCCGCTCTGAATGCTCTCCTTTGAGGAAAAGTAGATCACGGAGTAATTGTTAAGAAGGTAGACATGAATGCACTCCTTTGCACAATGCTAACCTACATTTATACCTTTTTTTAATTGTGGTGTTGCTCACGAGTCTTGATGCACAGTCGTATGTGCTTACTGCACAATTGCTTGCCCGTTACGAATGATTAAGGTCAAATAAATATTTTTTTCTCAATGGAAAGAATACAAGTTCATTGGTAAACAAACATTCCTACCTGTGGGACATTATCTGCAGCAGTTTGCAGAGTTGGTATGTGCAGAGGGGCCGGATATAGGTGTGACTGCTCCCCTGAGAGGCCCCTCGCGTCCTTCAAAGTGCAACACAAAGGGTAATTTCGACACCCATGGGTGGAGGAATGAGTCATTCGTGGAGCCTGCACAGCGAAAGGCACAGACTGCGACATCAACAGGAAAAAATAAGGTATGGCGTGATTTTCATGAAGTCAACATGGGATGTTTTGCTAGAGGACTGGCTCTTCTAATCGGCGAAAGGCATGAAGCACACTTATATCACGGAACATATAGTATACGACATTAAACGGCTAAATATGCCACAAAAAGGAAAACAATGTATCTGTTACGGTAACTACAGGAAAACTAATTTCGCTCCGTTGCACACAGGAAGCTCAAATAACAAACATAAGATATCTTTTGGCTATGTAAACAAAAAGTGCATAGTACAAATAGGTAATAGGCTTTTTCACGACGGCCTATTTAGCAAATACATCTAATTTGACCAAATCTGCACCTAATCTCTTTTACAAAAAAGTCTTCATATGATGAATTTATATCAGTTTTTAAATCGAAAATAATTTCTAAATATGTCAAAAATATGGTCTATATGCGTCTATCCAACCCAAAATGACAACTTTCAAGATAAACAATGAAACTAATTTGACTAAATCTGCACTAAATCTGCACCTAATCTGCACCAAATGTGTACCAGGTGGCCGTCGTAAAAACGGCTGATTTAAACTACGTGTCAAATGAAACGCTAGTGGTACAGTGATGTAAGAATCAGACACAACTGAAGGTGTCTGCGGTGATGTACGAGTACTAGGACGTAAGTTTTTTTGTTTCACAAGTGGTTTCACGTTTCCCAGGATGTTGTGAACGGGACGGACAGAGTAAATTCCGATCGGGTCAGCCTCTCCGAGAAAGTTTTACGTTGCTTTCCTCTCGTCTCCATCCGTCTAACGTCGATTGTTTCGAGAACCAATCAATCGTGTGTTGGTTGCGGAATGCGGACCACGGTACCATCTGCTCTCAACTGTCTGCTACACATGGACGTTGGACATTCATTGTCCAGTATTGACTTTCGTTGTAATTTCCAGCAGCAAGAAATCCGTGACAAGCCAGGCATGAAGAGATGGAAACAACTCCAGAACTTTGCACTTTACATTCTTCCACAGCATTCATGGAATAGATTCTTTTCTCGTACGGCATGTTTACGGCATTTAAGATCGGGGTCAGAGTCCCAACTCCCAAATGGACTATAGGAATAGGTATCGCGAAAAATAGTTTGTGGTTATATGTACTTGCAAATACCATCAAATCTACACTTGGATCACTTCTTTAGCGAATATGTTGTCCGTGATCAGTGATGCAGCTATTCAAACCCGTTTTGCAGAATTTTTGTCCGATCTCTGCTATAACTGGGTTGCGAGTTTAGTGCCTCATTTCGCAACGTACAAATGTTCCGTCTTCACCTTTCCTAGCTTCTTCTGCAGTGCCTGGCTGTATTTATACTGCCTCTTTACAATGGTTACGGGTTACGTCATACCCAAGTTGCAGCATTCGTCTCGCACTTGGCCAAGGAGCTTTGGCCGGGCTAGACCGGTCTTAGATACAGGGACAGAGCAGCACTATGTTCCTAGTTCTTCTGTTCGCTTGTTCAAACATAGTGCTGCTGTGAGCTTGCTACCGTTAAAGCTGATGCTCTACCTGGGATGCGTCAGATTCACCACCACCGTCACGCAGAGTCACACGGGCGCCACGGTAGCCGCGTCACGTCAGAGTCACGGGTCCGACTGAAGCGGCCGCCCCTGCATCCCATTGACACGCAATCTTACGCTGCCACCACCCGACACGCTACTATGCGCCGTAGTCACTATTAGGCCCCCGTTGCCCGCGCCACTATCACCAAGCGTTCGCCTCAGTTGGCTGTCAGCGGCCGAAACCACTCGCGTCGGCTCGTTTGTAGGGTAGGACGGCCCCTAAAAAACGCACCGACGGAGTGATAACGACGAGGTATATGGTCGGGATTAAGGATATGCAGGTTTGACGAATCTCGAAGTCGCATCTATTAAATAGGTGAGGGTGGGTGGGAAACTTCTCGCCCACTCTCTGCTCCACTCGCCGTCCGTCGCAGTCGACGACTGCCGTTCGCGCCTCTCGGCTCTGCTGCCAGCGGCGCGCCCGTTCCTACACTCCCCTTCGCACCACCCCTAGTCAGGGTCTGCTCCGCGTCTGTCGGCGGGGTGA